AACTTAATTGTACCATAGATCAGTAAGATGCACACTGACCCCTTATTTTCTCTGCGGTTTTGAGTCACACTTTATGAGTACTTATCCAAAATATACTTTTAAAAAAATCCTTGATATAAGAAATTTGAGGAGTGACTTACCTTAAGTAAGTCAAACAATAAAAAAATAGTTGTTTTATGTACTCTGACCGAGCTGTCAAAATCACTCTTACACAATAATTTTTGTCAGCACTTATATTTTTTTTTCTCGTTTCCATAGTATAATTTCTATAGGATGCTTTTTGATTGCAATTTTCATGGCGGATCTAGTGGTGAGTGTGTGTGTTCCCATGGACATTGCAGAATTATTAAATGTACATACTTAACCTAGCAGTACAATTATTCTCTGCCATCCTTGGACTTTTAGTAAGACGCAGTATTCTCGGCACTAGTGTCTTTCAAATGGCAAATAAATTTTCATTGGTTAAAAAATTAATAACATCAGGTACTTTTAATCATTGTTGACAATCATTAGACAACTTACCGGTAATCTTACTTTCTTATATGTCCTGAATTTCTATCCCGGCCACATATATTTCAACGATGAATGAAAGCTGTGTAAATTTTAGAGGCTAAATACATAACATCAAGAATATCCCACCTTACTGAAAGTCCTAAGATAACAGTGAATTTTACTAAAAGTGACCTTGGATGGCAGGACCCCTCCTTGGAAAAACTGATCTATGCAAAATTGGTATGAAAAGTCATTGGTATGATGCTTTAAAAGTCAACACTCCCTGAGTAAATAGAATGTTCTATGTTAAAGTGATATTTTTATATGGATCCAGTGAGCATTTGTTCCATGAGTTTTGACACAGATTACTTTAAACATATTTTATTGAGTATAATTCAATCAGGATTGGGCAACAGGCAATGCCTATGTAAACCCTCTCCTTAAACACACACAGATTCTCGAACCTGAAATTGTCTGAGCTGATGAACATCATTTTAGGTACTGAATATTTAATTTGTATGTATACTTGTATATTAAAAGTACCTGAGGAATAATACATGCATTATGAACTTGGTCTAGTTTAAAAAAAAAAACTCTTTTCTGTTGCTCTGTGCCTAAAATAAAAAATTTTAATCAAGACATCCAAGATGGTTCAATTTGACTTGTATTGGATGTTAGGCAGTTCAATTATACTTCTTTAAAATTGTATTCTAATAATGAAATAGAAAAAAAAGATTTTTCCTTCTCCAGCTTTTTATCATGCTACATGACACAGCACAAAGTCCTAACTCATAAGTTTGGGAAGGACTCTTCATTCATTTGGGGGAAAATGGTTTGATACAAGTTTTGCATGCTGGTCCAATACATTATCTGGCTTTTTGGAACTGTGTTGCTTAGTGCATATTGATGTTAAAATAGATAAATGTGTAGGTGTATAATATTATTAAGCTCAATATGATATCAAAAACTATTTATGTAGGAAAAGAAAGAACTGAATAATCACTGGGAAAGTTATGCTATTTTTTTTTTAAACAAGTATCTTGATAAACCAAGTTTAACATCAACAAAAAAAAACTTATATAATTGTCTCCCCTTTCACTGAAAGTGGGGATACTAATGCCCTGTTCACACGACAAGTTTAATTCGCAGTAAATTAATGCGAAGCAAACTAATGCGAATCAAACTAATGCGAATTAAATTGCGTTCACACGACAGCTAATGCGAAGTAAACTAATGCGAATTAAAATTTTACTTCGACAGTCAGGCGTGAGGAAGGCTATTATGACGTCATTTGCAAATCACGTCACCTTATGCAGAAGCAGATACATTTGACATAATGTCACAGTGTCTGGAGACATATTTTAGTGATTAAGACATTTTTTCTTAGTTTTTGACTCAAAAATAGCACAAGTACTTAAAGTTGACCACCGACATGATGCATTTGACTCAATTTTGCCATTACGCATGCCCCAAAATTTAATTCGAATTAGCTTCGCTTAGCGTTCACACGAAGCTAATGCGAAGTAATTTAATGCGCAGTAAACTAATGCGAAGTAAACTAATTCGCATTAAATTCTCCGTGTGAACGCTAAGCGAAGCTAATTCGCAGTAAACTTACGTTTAATTCGAATTAAACTCTCCGTGTGAACAGGGCATAAATTTAGGTCTGTGCATCTGTCCGTGTGTCTTTCTGTCTGTCTGTAACACTTTCAAGAAGCCTTTGCATTGAAATTTTACACAGCAACTCTCTGTGGCTCGAGGGAGACCCTTATTGATTTTGTGATCAAAGGGTCAAGGTAATTATGCAATAAATTCTGTATGTTGGAAAATTGATTTGTTTTTGAAAAAAAAACACTGTCATAACTTTTAAGAGACAGTATTAATAATTTTTCATTCAAATAAAAAGCTACAATCTTGACATAAATCCATAAAATCTAAACTGAAACTGGTTATCTTTGTTTTTAATGATTAATCCATGATTAAACCACGCACAAACAACCTAATTGTACATATAATTATAACATTGTAAGCACTCGGCTTAACTAACAGAGTTGATTTTGTGAAATGTTGGATTGAAATTTTATCCTTTTCCTTATTCCTTTTTATATCACCCTCTATGATCTCATAGGCATTCCTATTTATCATCTTATACATGTATTCCCTTCTTTGTTACTGTCATGTTGTTATTTGTGGGTTTAAGTCTAACTATCATTACAGTAATCATGGTAATGCATAAAATTGCACATTATCTTATTAGCGACTGATACCTATTGCTATACTATTCACGGGTGCTTGAAGACAGAAATATCCCCATTCCCCATCTGATATAGACCCCTTGGTCTGTTCGACGTATGTTTTTCTCATTTATTATACATATTGTATATACCGTAGATGAGAAATATGTAATTTTATCATCAATTTGGAAATTGGCTCTAGCAAACATATAACAAGAGGCCCAAAAGGTTCGAAAATGGTTATGTACTATGTACAAGTATATAAGCAAACGTTAATGACTTTCGACAAAAGAGAACCATTTATTTGTTACTCTGTATTTTTTCAACTTCCAGAGAATCGAACCCAGGACACCTGTCAGTCTAATGACATGTGCAGCAATACACTACATTGTATACCCAAAGCACTACAAATGATAGCTAAAGATTATTGTGCACTAGCTTTAAAACAAATTTTTCCAAATTTTCAGCATATATGTCACATATTATGTGTATTAAGGAATTTTTTTGTCAATGTATCAATGTCCTTTCCTACTTAAATGAAATATTCTGGGTTTTTTTTATCAATAATTATTTTATGTTTCAGTGCAAGGATATACCAAATAACAGAGCATTAATATTTGTGCAGTAACTGTTTTATGTATGATATATACATTGTAAAAAAAAAGTTTTCCATAATTTTTTTTCAAAATCCTGAGTCAATCCCCAGGGGACGATATTTTAATTCAAACAATCGAGAAGAGAAAAACGACATATAAAAATCGGAATATTGAAGCAAAGTAGTTAGGTACCTGAATACTTTCAGAGCCGTACGTGGTTCGAAAATGGTTATGTACTAAGCCTATGTACAAACATGTAAGCAAACGATAATGACTTTCGACAAGAGAACCATTTATTAGTTACTCTGTATTTCTTCAACTTACAGAGACAAAAAACGACCCGATTGTCGAAGTCTTTTAGTTATCTTGTACTCGAGACAATGAATCTTCCATGCCATCTTTGTTGTACTTTCGGTTTGACGAATCATCTAAAGAACTATATGCGGTATTAACCAACATTTGCCCCCCAAAATCAAACTTTGATGGAGTAATATTTAATTAAGTCCTTAAACAGGGGAGTATATGCTGACTTCAAAGCACTGAATAATTTCATAAGTAATGACGTCATATGTACGTAATGACGTCACAAATATGACGTAAATTTCAGTTTTTTTATGAATTTTGCAGAAAAATGTACATATTTCGTAGATATTTTAAATAAAAGTCACCGAGCGCATGTGTGTTCAGGATAAATATTTTGATATAATGTGTAGAATGATAATATCAATGAAATATGTCAATATTGTTCCTGAACACACATGCGCTCTATAAATTTTAAAGCTTAAATTGTTGAAATTTTGTCCATTTTGTCCTCTTTCTGAAAAAGGATAGAAAATCGGACTAGTTTGTGATGTCATAAAAACAGAAATTGTGAATACTCTGCTCTGGAACTATAATATTTTCTGTTAACTTATATTTCTCGTACAATTTATTGAATTCAGCACATTTCAGGAAGTTTTCAAAATTTGACTTTTGTGGGGGCAAACATATGCAATATACCGCATATAGTTCTTTAAACTCTCCTTCGATCATGCATCCCGGAAAATAACTGAACATCGTATTTATTTATGCCTTTTATTTGGAAATTAATGTACCCTTTTTTTTTCCGGTAAGTGAAATCGACGTCAGGCATTTTTGATAGAATAAGCGTCGGGCGCGTTTGACGTAATAACGTCACAAACGAGAATAACGTCACATAACGTTATTTTACGTGGTATGGATCTTTACCTTAAATTAAAGGTCACAGTGACCTTGCAATAGGTCGCAACACACCTTCTACCTAAGATGCATAAACTGGCCAAGTTTGATGATTGTAGGTCTTATGGTTTTCTAGTTATGGGCCGGAAAGGATTTTTCCATATTTGGCTATAACTTCTTAATTAAAGGTCACAGCGACCTACTTTTTGTGTGCGACACACCTTCTACCCAAGATCCATCAGATGACAAAGTTTGATAATCCTAGGCCTAGTAGTATTAAAGTTATGAGCCGGAAACGAAAAAGCTAACAGACAGACGGACAGACGGACGGACACGAAGCCTATAACATAATACGTCCCGTCTTAAGACGGGCGTATAAAAAAATATATCTCTAATTTTGTTTATAAATTTATCTTATTTCAATCAATGTTGAGCCTTAGATATACTTTTAAATTGGCGATTGATATTGTCTCCCTTTTACCTTCACTAAGTCCACATCATTCTGTCGACATCTCAGTACAACGGACGCCTCTATAAGCTGAAACAGGCCCTGAAATCAACAAGGTAAATTTAAGTGCCATTTAAAACAGTATTTCTTTATGATGCTAACATTGGTATAACTTCTGAGGAATTCATAGCTTTTTATTCAGCTGGTAAATTTGATTATGATTATGATAATTTATGCATTATGGACTTTGCCCATTATGCAAATCATCTCAAGTTCCCAACTATCGCTGATGCCCTGGCATACTCTACTAACTAGACAGTGATTCTTTATATAAAGTACTTACTTGAGCTATCAGTCCCTCTAGTAACTTCTTGTACTGATTTCTGTCTGTTGTGATCTGACCAAGTCTTTTTCTGGCATCTTCCATCAAATCCTAAGAAAATTATATGAAGATCTTTGAAAAACTACTTAAGATTTTCTTCTATTTGATTACCATGTATGTATGTGTCCTTGAAAATTCTGGCCTCTTTATTAACTTGTTTAAATTGTCCACAAAGCGAATATTTTTTCTGCTTCCTTTTAAAAAAGAATAGCAGATAGCAAGACATCTGTATAGTTAAATTCATTGCAATGGAGAATACAAAAAGGCCTGAGAAATTCAAATATCTGAAATGAATGTAGCTTACATTTTATTATGAATTGTCTTTTGTCACTTTTTAATTTACTAATATCTGTTTTAAATGTTACATGAGCATCTAAATCTATTCATTTGAAGTTTTTTAAAGCATGATTACTGTTTGTAAGAACTATACCTACCCTCAGAAGATCTTCTCTCATCTTCAGAATCCGTAGTCTTGCCTGATTCAGCAGATTGGAACTTTGACTGAAAAAAAAAATTTAAAGATGAATTTCAAAATTCAGTTTATTAATAAATGTTACTATTTCAAACTTGACAAGAAACAAAAGGTACCTAATGACTTGAGATAATTGGGGTGAACACACATAGTTCTGAAGTTACTAGCAAAAATTAAAATCAAGGTCTTATTGGAAATCGTAGGAAATAAAAAGGACAGAAATTGAGAGCGTTATTTACATTTTCTTCTGTAGTTCCACCTGTTTCTCCTTCCTCTCGTAATACTCCATGATTTTAACTCTCTGTTGCTGAACAAGCCTTCCCTTCTCTATGTTGAACTCTTCCTCAGCCTGTAATTTTTTTTTATTATATAATAATAAGTTGTCCTTTGAATATTAATATTGCATGAACACAGCATACTGAAAGCCTACTGAGTAATGTAAACCAACTATTATTCACATCATTTTTTATTCATGACCTTTCAGTCTGACATCATTGCCCACCTATAACGCAGTAATTTTCACAACTCAGGAAACATTCATCTTTACAAAGCCTCAGTGAAAGCAAAAGAAACTGTTCACAGTGATTATTATTTGTGAGCAAATATGTATGTCGCCAAAGTTGAGGATATTTTGGCACACCAATAAAAGTTGGTTTACAGTACTCGGTAGTTTGTCTTAAGTTAAAAGTACAAAGTACATGATACTTCTATTGCATTGAGTAAATTTACTTGCATGTCTTTCTAAGTTTCTTGATGATGAACAACATATATTTAGACAAGAGGCCCATGGGCCACATCGCTCACCTGAGCACTGTGGCTAGGAAAAAGTAGAAATTGGTTTATTATTTAATAATTTAAATCCAAAAGTAGTACAATACCAATCCTGGCTTTGCTATTCTTGATAAGATGATTTTTAAAGAATTTTCATATATATGTCTATTAAAAACTTTGGTCAGCCATTGTGGCCCCGCCCTACCCCCGGGGGTCATGATTTGAACAAACTTGAATCTACACTACCTGAGGATGCTTTCTTATAAATATGTTTAATTATGGCTTTGTTATTCTTGAGAAGAAGATTTAAAAAAAATTTTCTATATATTTCTATGTAAAACTTTGGTTGGCCATTGCGGGCCATTGTGGCCCCGCCCTGCCCCCGGGGGTCATGATTTGAACAAACTTGAATCAATACTACCTGAGGATGCTGTCATATAAATATGATCAATTATGGCTTTTTTATTCTTGAGAAGAAGATTTTTAAAGAATTTTCTATATATTTCTATGTAAAACTTTGGTCGGCCATTGTGGCCCCGCCCTACCCCCGGGTGTCATGATTTGAACAAACTTGAATCTACACTACCTGAGGATGCTGTCATATAAATATGATCAATTATGGCTTTGTTATTCTTGAGAAGAAGATTCTTAAAGAAATCTCCTATATATTTCTATATAAAACTTTTGTCGGCCATTGTGGCCCCGCCCTACCCCCGGGGGTCATGGTTTGAACAAACTTGAATCTACACTACCTGAGGATGCTTCCATATAAATATGATCAATAATGGCTTTGTTATTCTTGATAAGAAGATTTTTAAAGAATTTTCCTATATATTTCTATGTAAAACTTTGGTCGGCCATTGTGGCCCCGCCCTACCCCCGGGGGTCATGATTTGAACAAACTTGAAACTACATTACCTGAGGATGCTTCCATATAAATATGATCAATAATGGCTTTGTGATTCTTGAGAAGAAGATTTTTAAAGAATTTTCCTATATATTTCTATGTAAAACTTTGGTCGGCCATTGTGGCCCCGCCCTACCCCCGGGGGTCATGATTTGAACAAACTTGAATCTACACTACCTGAGGATGTTTCCCCATAAGTTTCATCTTTCCTGGCTCAGTGGTTCTTGAGAAGAAGATTTTTAAAACATACCATCAAATTTTCATTAATTCCCAATTATCTCCCCTTGAATGAGGGCCTGGACCTTCATTTGAACAAACGTGAATCCCCTTCACCCAAGGATGCTTTGTGGCAAGTTTGGTTGAAATTGGCCCAGCGGTTCTTGAGAAGAAGTCGAAAATGTGAAAAGTTTATGACGACGACGACAACAACGACGACAGACAACGGACAAATTGTGATCAGAAAAGCTCACTTGAGCCTTTGGCTCAGGTGAGCTAATAAAAAGAAAAATTTATGTGAGAATCATTAGAATATTTTGTACTACCCACCTTAGCATCTATTTCTTCTGCCTTTTCATTGGCTTCCTGCTCTATGAAAGCCATCATGTGTTTAATCTACAAAAAATATTTTCAGATGTTCAGAGGTACATGTACATGTGTATTAATAAAATTTTATCCATTGAGACAAAAAGAAAAATATTGCAATATTGCTATATAGCTTTAAATAGTTATATAGCTTTATTAGCTAGTCAGAATAACTTAATTTAGCTATTTTACTACACTTTTTTCTTAAAGGTGTAATTTTCTTAGTATGTACAAAAAAGTACACCTTGGTGCAGTTATGAAATACAACCTTGAAATCTTCTTAAAATTATGCATGTAAAAATCACTCATCAACATAATCGAAATTATATGTCTCCTTGAGAGTCTTTGTATTCAAAGTTATGCAAGTTTTAGGACTAAATAAAGCAATTCCCTCGAGGGGAATATTATATTTTTTGGCTGAATAAGACTTCATGTTTCCCGAGCATTCATGCAATAAATTGTTTATTGTACCGAAACACCTTTAAAATAAACATAAACTTTCAAATTCGGCACTGCTCTCAAATTCACTTTCATTTTTTACGTAAAGTTACCATAAAACCGTCTACTTCTCTTTCAACGAACGAGAACTACACTAGGTGTTCCGAAAGAATGAAATATGATGAAAAACGTGCCGACGACCGGGAAATATGAAGTTTTACGGCCCGATCACGTGATAAATTAGAACCAATCAGATTACGCGTTGTTTAGAATATTTATAATGAGGTATATTAATTAAGGAATGAAGCTAATTTCAACTTATGTTATCCGATATAACATAACTTGGGGCAGTTTACGCTTTATAAACCGCGAAGCGGTTTATAAGAAAGCGTAAAGTGCCCCAAGTTTTGTTATATCGGATAACATAAGTTGAAATAAGCTTCATTCCTTAAAATTTAATTTCAGTGTAGACAATGAGACAATATTTCCTCCGGAAAAAGTCTTCAAAACTGAGCATTATTTTAAAAGTAACGTCAAGAGGAGTAATACGTTTTTGACGTAACTCATTGTGACGTAGGCAAGTTATGTTATACAAAATATTATATGTTGCTCTGAATGATTCAGCCAATGAAATTACTTGATACAAGTGAAATTAAATTATTAAATGATATTGACCAGTTGACAGTTGTGAGGTTAACTCAACTGCCAGTTTCAAAAATCTCAAAATCTTCCAGGTTCAGATAGAAAGATCAAAGAAAATACCGGGACAATTTAATGTAAATGTGTCTTTTTCTATCGTAAACTCATATAATGCATTTATTTTAGCCAAAGCTCTGTGCAAATGTCTGATAGAATTGGAATATTTTTGTTGTCAAGAAATCAATATGCTGATAGTGTAAAATTTCAGAAAACCTTTGGTAATTCAGGCAAATAATGTGAAGCTCTGTATTAAACTTTTCCATTACCTGTTTTTGGACATCTTGATCACTCATAGCCATCTTGACGGTTGACAAAAATCACTTTTTATTCACAGGAAAAATTTTTACTGGCAAATTTCTCGTGACTGTGATGAGCCCAATAAATGATGACGTATAACACACTTCCGGTGTCGGTTAAAGCATATGAAATGTGAAGAAAGTTTACAAGTCAACGAAGTTGAGCAGTGTCAGCCAGGTAAATAGGTTTAGGAAAACAATTCTCTGAATGAAGAATCATACAGACTGTTTCACATAAATAATTACAATGATTATTCAACGCAAGACCAATGTAAACTTGATCATTGAGCATGTGCACCGCTAATGTCAGCCCACTATTTAAGAAGGGGGACAGATCAAACCCTGCAAACTACAGACCAATATCCCTTACCTGCATACTGTGCAAAACTATGGAGCACATCATAACATTAAACTTGGTAAGAAATTTTACACAAAATAACATCCTATATGACCTCCAACATGGATTTAGGGAGCGACGGAGCTGCGAAACCCAGCTGGTGATGCTGATCGATGAACTTGCACGTAACATCCAACACGGTAAGCAAACCGACTTGATCCTGTTAGATTTCAGCAAAGCTTTTGACAAGGTCTCACACAACAAACTACTTTTTAAGCTACATGAGTATGGTGTTCGAGGCCGAAATCTAGCATGGATCAAGGGGTTCCTCAGCAACCGTTCCCAGAGAGTAGTAGTAGATGGCGAGTTCTCCACATCCATCCCCGTTACATCTGGGGTCCCTCAGGGCTCTGTCCTTGGTCCCATCCTTTTCCTCGCTTACATAAACGACTTGCCAGAGCATGTGAAGTCCCAGGTTAGACTTTTTGCAGATGACACTGTCATCTATATTACTATAGATGGACAGGGACGTCAGTCAATGCTCCAAGAGGACCTTAGACAACTAGAGAACTGGGAGACCTTGTGGGACATGGAATTTAATCCAAGTAAGTGCCAGGTAATCCATGTAACGACATCCAGATACCCCATTTGTAATAACTATATACTTCATGGTCAGGTATTAGAGACTACATCATCAGCCCGGTATCTGGGTGTCGATATATCGGATAACTTGAACTGGAGTCAGCACATAAGTCGGATCACAAATAAAGCCAACAGCTCCCTCGGCTTCCTACGCAGAAATATACCGACCAGGAACCAGCAGCTCCGGTCAGCAGCATACAAACCAGTGATACGTCCACAGCTTGAGTATGCTGCCAGCGTTTGGGACCCTCACTTGGTTACACTTATTAACCAAGTTGAGGCTGTTCAGCGCAGAGCTGCAAGGTGGGTGATGTCGGATTTTAGAAGAACATCAAGTGTCACAGATATGCTACAAACCCTATGTTGGCGAAGCTTGCAACAAAGGAGGGCGGATGCAAGGCTTGTACTTATGTACAAGATCGTGTATGGACTAGTAGCCATCCCCTCAGTTCAATTCATCCCCCCAAGTAGGACTACCCGATCATCTCATTCCCTCACCTTTCGCCAAATACAAACTACAAAAAATGTGTATAAATATTCCTTTTTCCCTCTTACTATAGTTCAGTGGAACAGACTGCCGAGCAGTGTTGTCTCGCTTCCAGATGTTGAACATTTCAAACTGGAAGTGAGTAAACTGAATCACCCCAGACCTTAATCATATTATAGTGTTTTTACATCTTTTAATTGTGAATACTGTTTTTCTTAACTTTTTATCTTCACTAAAAATTTAATACTGTTCCCTTTTCACCGCTTTGAAATTTACTTTTCTATACTTTTTTTACCATTTTTTAATTAGCTGCGCACCCTACTCAGAGTACTCAAAACTTGAGGGCGAGTAGTATCGAGAGATAGATAGATAGATGTAGGGCAAGCTGCTTGCTGTCACTGTCATATCAGACTATCAGACTATTCACCTAAGTTTCTTACGGTATGTTTCCATTTTAAATTGTTGACAATGGTGCAAAACATGCAGAGAATCTCATGTTTTGAAGTTGATGCAAAATATTCCTTAAGATATGTCTTGTGGTTATTGCTTTTTTTTTAATAATTAAAAAAAAAATTATCAAATTTATATCTGGTTATTCACCATGTTCACATATCAACATAGTCCAATGTTTGTCTACCCATAGTTCTTTAGGTAGCCATAAAGTTGCATGAACACACACATATTCTACACATACTGAAATTTTGATATAATTAAAAATGGCATTATAAACAGATAAATAGGAGAAATTTGCAATCATCTCAATTTCAGGGCCAGGATGGCTTTTAACAATAATTATAAGGAATTTTTTTATGCCCCCCATCCAAGAAGGGAGGGCATATTGTTCTGCTGCTGTCTGTCGGTCGGTTGGTCAATCCAGTTAATAGTTTCCGTTCATTTTCTTCGCAACCGTTGCACATACTGAAATGAAATTTGGTATACTGATTTGGTATACTGATATAATACAGAAATATCTAGGTCAAGTTCTGTTTTGGGTACAATCGGGCCATTTTTGACAGAGTTATGTCCCTTGGACTTAGAAAAATTTCAATTATTTGCAGTTTCCTTTCATTTTCTTCACAACCGTTGCACATACTGAAATGAAATTCAGTGTACAGATTTATCAGAAGTATATCTAGGTCAAGTTTTGTTTTGGGTACGATCGCACCATTTTTGACAGAATCATGTCCCTTTGACTTAGAAAAATTCCAATTAATATTTGCAGTTTCTGTTCATTTTCTTTGCAGAGGTTGCACATACTGAGATGAAATTTGGTATACAGATTTATGAGATAAATATCTTGGTCAAGTTCTGTTTTGAGTACAATCGCACCATTATTGACAGAGTTATGCCCTTTTGGATTTAAAAAAATTCCAATTTGGGGGGAGGGGGGCATAAGTGTTTTACAAGCATCTCTTTTTGTTGTGGAAACAGTGAAAGAATATGTTCGTTTCACAGAAATGTTTATCTAAATTGATCATTAAGATTTTTACTGAATGTATTAAATTTACTTTGCAGATAACAATGGCAGCTAAATCTCCTGCCACCCCACCATACTCCCCTGAAAACTTTAACCTAGAGACGAAACTGATAGTCCTGAACTTTATAGGATACAATCCTCACGACTCGCCTTCACAGTCCATCCAGTCTACAGACTTATTCAGGTAACAACGTGTCGTATGATAATCAGTGCATAGATTGCAGTGCAGTCTGGGCTTAAATCCAGTTTACCCAATACTCCAGTATTTTCTCTTAAATTTGACTTTTCAGTCTATTAAACATTTTTTTAATTAATATCATTAAAAGATATAATTCAAAAAAGTACAATTTTCATGAAGATAATTGTGTATCTAATGAAAACAAAATTATCATAAAGCATCACTAGCATGCAAAGATAGAAAGGGGCTGCGCATAACTTTTATTTTCAGTTTATTAAGATTTCCTTTTTATGATTTATAAGTATATATTAATAAACTGTATAAATCATGAAAGACGCAGCCTTTGATCTGATTGTGCCTGTTATTTAACTTTTTTCATTGAGTAGACTGAATTTTGTGATTTAAACCATCACTGATGAACTGATTTGATAAAGTAAATTTCTTTTATTAGAGGAAGATTCTGCCACTCTTTGCCTGTGACTCCCGACTTACATAAGCATTGCCATCACAGATCATTCTTACAAAAACAGAAAACTGCAGATCATCTGTATGCTCAACAATCTTCATCTTCTATCACCGAGGAACAGGCCCCGAGACGAAAATCCTGGTCCCTAGAAGCTGTGTCACCTTCTAAACTGTCTTTAAATTTCAAGAAAAATGTCACATTGAATTTCAAATCTCAAGTTCGGTCACCTTCCACAGACAAGGAGAGTTCAGATGACTACAGAGCAGACGATGAAATGTCCCAGAATGCCTCACCATGTGTTCAATCAAACGACCTCAATGCTGAGCAGGTTATGTCTCCAGGGAATGATGCCTGGCTCCATCCTGATACTCTATTTTCATCGCATAAGGCAGCCACAACAACTACCCCCAAGTCATTAGGGTTTGAACCTTCCCTGGAGGACTGGAAGAATTTGGAGGCTGCTGTGCCAATGACTGAAGGAGAAGATGAGTTGAATGAGATTTCTCCTGAGATACAGGAGTTTATGGAATCGCTCCTCTCTGATGTGGTTAGACTGGTTGTGGAGAGAGAAATAAAAAGGCAACAGAAAAGATTAGATGAGGTGGATGCCCATAATGGTTTTGACAAGGGAGAATATCAAAGAGAAATCAGTGGGTATGTTTACTGCAAGTAATTTGCTTGAAAGTATATGTAAATGACTATATGTAAGTAAGTTATGTTCAGAATATCTTTTTATGGGAGTGCAAATTAAGCATGAAAAAAATCATTGAATGTTTGAAATTTTTGAATTAATACTGTTAAATGTACAAGTAGCATAATATATTGATGCAAAAATAAAAGAATTCTTTGCTATGAGTTAAGAAACACAAATATACCATCACAGTTTATTTTTCAATTAATATGATAATTTTATAAATTACCAGCAGTAAACACAACACATCTTTATTTTTAGAAATGATGACATTTCCTCATCATCAGCTGACTCCTGCTCCAGTATGTCTATAGAGAACGTTGGCCCCTCCCCCGAGGACGTGGACTCTGTCACTTCTCACGAGATTGACGGCTGTAGCTGCCATAGTGTTATTACTCCTCCCACTGACTTCACACCCGGTGACAGATCTAAGCTCCGCCTTCATATTGTCAATCATTCCTCCCCAGCTGTAGAGGAGAGTGTTCTAAATTGTATGAGGGCGGAACTTAGTGAAGAACTCTACTCACTGGAGTCAGAGTTAGAGAATGGTAAGTTATGCTAATCCGGGATCTATAATTAACAGGACCCTCTCAATCTAGGCTTTTCAATACATAAAAATGTGAATAGTCTATTGCTCTACATAATTTACAGAAAAACGTCATCTGCATTTTTTACTTCAGTAGATAAATTTACATGCTTGATTGTTCTGATGACGACCGTCACAGGTCGAAACCGGTCAACAAAATAAATTTACTGCTGCATTCTAACGAAGTGTTGGTGATCTGTTTTTTACTTTTAGTTTATAACTTTAGTTACAGACCCTATTGAATACCTTTCGGTATCCACACGTGAGAATCTTCCGCAATTTTAACCTCAAGGTGTTGGTCACCAGCTTTTCTTTGTTTTGTAATTTACAGAAAAGTAAAACTCAAGCATTTGAATGTTGAAGTGCTGCTTTGCACCTTCAAAAGAATTTATTTAAAAAAATAAAACATTTCAGACTAGGCTTATGTATGATAATCTAGCTGATCTCCCTTGAATACTTCTATCAATCTTCAAAATATTTTGAAAGGAGAAAGATGTTTTCTTGAAAAAGAATGATCTGGTAATATTGAGATGATTATATATTGATGCTATGAATGAAGAAAGATAACTCTTACTCTCCAGCAAATGTGTTGAATTAGAGGAGGAACATTAGCATATTATTTTTATCATAAAATCTAAAATTAGTAATAAAAAATCTAGATCTGCCCCACCTTCTTACTGTGATTACGGTAAGAGAAGACTAAATGTTCTTCAAACCAGACTAAAACATAATTGTGTATTAAATAACGACCTTTATAGATGCAATTTAATATCAAGTCCCTTGTGCACGTGCGGTAAAGTTGAGGACACATATCATTATTTTTTCGTATGTCCAAAGTATGCGAATGCCAGAAATGAATTTTTACACAATTTTTTACAATTTGATAAAATCCACATACTAGATACACATGTTTTATTATGGGGTGTTGAATCACTGAGTGCTGCAGAGAATGAACATCTCTTTTCTTTTGTTCAAACATTTATTAAGCATTCTGGTAGATTTCCTTGTTAAGTACTGTACCAATATTAATATATGAATTTGTTCAACTTTTATATATTCATACATATATGCAAAATGCATCAATTTGTTTACTTTTGCAAATTCTGAATGTTTTATATAGCATTTTAACTGTGACAATATCAATGTGTAATTTATATGTATAGGGAGAGGGCGTTATAAGTATTCAGTACTTGTGCTCAATCCCATTGTAATTATATTACAATAAAATATGTTCAAATCAAATCAATCAATCAGCATATTATTTATAGGCTGTTTTTTTTTTTTAGCTCACCTTGACGAAGTCGAGATGAGCTTATGCTATACCCCCGGCGTTAGCGTCGGCGTCCCAGGTTAAAGTTTTAGGAGCAAGTCCATTCCCAAGTAACTATAAGCCCTAGCTAAACCAAACTTGCATGGATGATGCATCTAGGAATGTACACTACCAGACTTGCTTCGGATGCTGGATCTGACCTACATTTTCCAGATGAGTGACCAGGTTAAAGTTTTTGGAGCAGGTCTATTCCCAAGGAACTATAAGCCCTACCTGAACCAAACTTGCATGGATGATGCATCTAGGGATGTACACTACCAGACTTGCTTCGGATGCTGGATCTGACCTACATTGTCTAGATGAGTGACCAGGTTAAAGTTTTTGGAGCAGGTCCATTCCACAGGAACTATAAGCCCTATTTGGACCAAACTTGCATGGATGATGCATCTAGGGATGGACACTACCAGACTTGCTTCTGATGCTGGATCTGACCTACATTTTCATTCCCAAGTAACTATAAGCCCTACCTGAAGCAAACTTGCATGGATGATGTATCTAGGGATGTACACTACCTGACTAGTTTCAGATGCTGGATCTGACCTACATTTTCATTCCCAAGTAACTATCAGCCCTATTTGGACCAAACTTGCATAGATGATGTATCTAGGGATGGACACTACCAGACTTGCTTCGGATGCTGGATCTGACCTACATTTTCATTCCCAAGTAACTATAAGCCCTACCTGAACCAAACTTGCATGGATGATGCCTCTAGGGATGGACACTACCAGACTTGCTTCGGATGCTGGATCTGACCTACATTTTCATTCCCAAGTAACTATGAACCCTATTTGGACCAAACTTGCATAGATGATGTATCTAGGGATGGACACTACCAGACTTGCTTGGGATGCTGGATCTGACCTACATTTTCATTCACAAGTAACTATAAGCCCTACCTGAACCAAACTTGCATGGATGATGTATCTAGGGATGGACACTACCAGACTTGCTTCGGATGCTGGATCTGACCTACATTTTTCATTCCCAAGTAACTGTAAGCCCTAGCTAAACCAAACTTGCATGGATGATGTATCTTAGGATGGACACTACCAGGCTTGCTTGGGATGCTGGATCTGACCTATATTTTCCATACAAGAGACCAGGTTAAAGTTTTGGGAACAGATCAATCCGAATGAACTTGAAGTCTTTGATATCTGCAGTTTTAACAGTTATGAATATTTGTTTGCACAATACATGTTTTTCACACTACATGCATAGAAATGTGTATATGCCATGTAGAGGGTTAAGCACAACTTGCAAGAATATTGTTGTTGGGATGAATACTTAATATTAAGAAAATATGATGTAGGATTTGCATTACTTAAACTGATAACATTCGTCGAGGTGAGCTTCGTAATCTTTGATTACCTATGTTTTTTTTTTTGCTTGTATACACAGTCATATTCATGAATGTGTATGCAGTAATGCTTTCACTGATCAGGAAAATGTACAAACAAAAATAAAACTTCATAATTGAAATAATCTTACTTTCAGTTTTAAGGAAACAGAGAAATGGAGAAGTTGTGTCCCCCCTTTTGACCCCTCCTCTGACCCCCCAGTCCAATGCTGCCCGGGTCCTGGCAAGAATAGGAGATGAGGTTCGTGCCAGATACGAGTTTCAGTTGGAGGACGCGCTTCATCGACTTTTTATTGGAGGTCAACAGACCTTTTCATATGAAGCCTTCAGGGAGTCAGCCAATCAAATCGTGGATCAGAATTTGCCAGGCTGGAGACAGGTGAGAAGAAAATAGTATTGAGGTCAAATCATGTTTATTTCTACATTGAGAATTATATTATTATTATACCCGCACTTTCTAAAGAAAGTTCGGGTATATTGTTGTTACTCATGTCCGTCCGTCCGTCCGTCCGTCTGTCACACTTTTCTTCCCTGAACTCCTCCTACATTTTACACAGTAGCTTAATCATCTTTTAAGAGATGGTTGGTGGTGTCATGTAGATGTGCAGTAAGGTTTCGGAATTTTGATTTTGCCCCGGGGGGTCAAATGGGGGTCGAAAAATGACGTTTTTTGTGCAAAAAGTCCCGTCTTCCCTGAACTCCTTCTACATTTTACTCAGCAGCCAAATCACCTTTTGGGGGATGATTGGTGGTGTCATGTAGATGTGCAGTAAGGTTTCGGAATTTTGATTTTGCCCCGGGGGATCAAATGGGGGTCGAAAAATGACGTTTTTTATGCAAAAAGCCCCATCTTCCCTGAACTCCTCTTACATTTTACTTAGCAGCCTCATCATCTTTTGTGGGATGATTAGTGGTGTCATGTAGATGTGCAGTAAGGTTTCGGAATTTTGATTTTGCCCCGGGGGGTCAAATTGGGGTCGAAAAATGACGTTTTTTGTGCAAAAAGTCCTGTCTTCCCTGAACTCCTTCTACATTTTACTCAGCAGCCTAATTACCTTTTGGGGGATGATTGGTGGTGTCATGTTGATGTGCAGTAAGGTTTCAGAATTTTGATTTTTCCCCGGGGGGGTCAAATGGGGGTCGAAAAATGACGTTTTTTATGCAAAAAGCCCCATCTTCCCTGAACTCGTCTTACATTTTACTTTGCAGCCTAATCATCTTTTGTGGGATGATTAGTGGTGTCATGTAGATGTGCAGTAAGGTTTCGGAATTTTGATTTTGCCCTGGGGGGTCAAATGGGGGTCGAAAAATGACGTTTTTTGTGCAAAAAGTCCCATCTTCCCTGAACTCCTTCTACATTTTACTTAGCAGCCTAATCATCTTTTGTGGGATGATAAGTGGTGACATGTAGATGTGCAGTAAGGTTTCAGAATTTTGATTTTGCCCGGGGGGGGGTCAAATGGGGGTCGAAAAATGACGTTTTTTGTGCAAAAAGTCCCGTCTTCCTTGAACTCCTTCTACATTTTACTCAGCAGCCTAATCACCTTTTGGGGGATGGTTGGTGGTGTCATGTAGATGTGCAGTAAGGTTTCGGAATTTTGCTTTTGTCCCGGGGGGTTAAATGGGGGTCGAAAAATAAAGTTTTTTATACAAAAAGCCCTGTTTTCCCTGAACTTCTCTTACATTTTACTCAGCAGCCTAATCATCTTGGAGGAGATGGTTGGTGGGGTCACTTAGATATGCAGTAAGGTTTCAGAATTTTGATTTTGCCCCGGGGGGTCAAATGGGGGTCGATAAATGATTTTTTTTATGCTAAAAGACCTGTCTTCTCTGAACTCCTCTTTCATTTTACTCAGCAGCTTAATCATCTTTTGGGAGATGGTTGGTGGTGTCATGTACATGTGCAGTAAGGTTTCGGAATTAAGATTTTGCCCCAGGGGATCAAATGGGGGTCGAAAAATAACGTATTTCATACAAAGAGCCCTGTTTTCCCTGAACTCCTCTTACATTTTACTCAGAAGCCTCATCATCTTTTGGGAGATGGTTGGTGGGGTCATGTAGATGTGCAGTATGGTTTTGGAATTTAGATTTTGCCCCGGGGGGTCAAATGTGGGTCGAAAAATGACGTTTTTTGTGCAAAAAGCCCTGTCTTCCTTGAAGTCTTCCTTAATAATACTCAGAAGCCTAATCATCTTTTAGGAGAGTTAAATATTTTGAAAATTATGTAAAACATCAACGTCAAGGGGTAACAAGATGTGTTTGTGAAACACTATGCACCCGGCGTCAACAAAGTTCGAAAAAGCTATTTTTAGCATATAGGTCACAGTCAAGGTCACAAGATCATTGACCTTGGTGTCATTTGAAGGAACTTTATTAGTGCAGTATGCATACCAAATATGAAGTCCCTATCTCCTATGGTTCAAAGGTTATGGCATAAAGTGGAAAAAGCTATTTTTAGTATAAAGGTCACAGTCAAGGTCACATGGTCATTGACCTTGGTGTTGTTTGAAAGAACCTTTTTAGTGAAGTATGCATACTAAATATGAAGTCCCTATCTCCTATGGTTCAAAAGTTATAACAAACAGTTGAAAAAACTATTTTTAGCATATAGGTCACAGTCAAGGTCACGAGGTCATTGACCCTGATGTCATTTGAAAGAACTTTATTAGAGGAGTATGCATACTAAATATGTAGTTTCTATCTCTTATGGATCAAAAGTTATGACAAACAGTTGAAAAAGCTATTTTAAGCATATAGGTCACAGTCAAGGTCACAAGGTCATTGACCTTGATGTCATTTGAAAGAACTTTCTTAGAGGAGTATGCATACCAAATATGAAGTCTCTATCTCTTACGGTTCAAAAGTTTTGGCCAAGGTTAAAGTTGACAACAGACAAACAGATTAACAGACAGGACAAAAACAATATGCGCCCCGAAAAAATTCGGGCGCATAAAAAAACATCGCATGCTGGGAAACACCTTGAATTCTTATGAGTAATTTATGTACATGTCAAATGTGAGAGTCATATCTCATCTCAATCAAAAGTTATAAGCAAATGCAACATTTTTGAAAAGTAGGTTAGGCTTGATTGCTTCAAGGTCAAGGTCACAGTGTAAAAGTCATGATTTATTTGGAAAGGTCTTATCACAGGTAATAATATACATGCATTATGATATGAATGCCCTAACTTTTCTCTTTCAAAATGATGAATTTATAACAATTTAATTTTTTTTCAAGTTGGTCAAACTTCTAGGTCACATGTAAAAAAAAACAAAAAACATGCCATTCTCATAATATACTAATAAATATGCATATAAATAAATAAATATACTAATACATAAGTTTAATATGAATGTCTCTTCTCATTCAGTAGATATGACTGTGATAACCAAGGTTAAATTTATTGAGTCAGATGGACTGAGTCTGACATACAAATATACATATTTCTATATGAATTGGGTAAAATTGGCCAAGTGGTTCTAGTGAAGTTAAAAATGTAAAAAGTTTTCAGACAAACAGATGGACAACACGTCACGACAGACATTATATGCTAAGGAAACCAAAAAAGCTCAAATGAGTGTTTTGAAAGGGTTACAATATGGTTGGAGTATTTGAAAAGCTGTTTTTTTTCCTGCAGAGATATGCATGACCAACATATTCATGTTTTATATTTTCTTTAGTGATTTGTTTGTTTGTTGTGAATACATCTCCCCTCATATGGAGACACCACCAAATAATAATGAAGATAAGATGTGTTTGTGAAACACTGATGTCCCAGTATGGAAGCCTATGGCGAAGGTTGAAGTTTCTCAAATATATGTCAAAATCAAAGGTCAAGGTCAAAGGGTTCAAATTGTTAGTATCATAAGAAAGTCTTGTCACAAGGAATGCACATGTGAAATAAAGAAATCCCTAGTAATTCCTGTTCAAAAGTTAATTGCCAAGGTTAATTTTTTTGTTTAAGTGGTTCAAACTCTAGGGTCAAGGTCAAACATATTTATACCTGTTGACAGTTCACAATGAATACAATATGTCATGATAAGTATGAAAGCCCTAGCACCTACTGATCAAAATTTAGGCAGAGTTTAAAGTTTGGTATTTTTCTTGTAAAAATGTGTATCCCATGTCAAGCGATCAGAGGTAAATTAATGGTACCCAAATAAAAGGTCTTATTAAATTGTCACAAGAAATAAACCTAGAAAATGTGGAAGCTATTTGTATAGAGCATCCCACTTAAAACTTATGGGCAAGCTAGCTAGGATTTAATTTCTGCAGACTTATAGACAGACATACTATAAACACAAGAAACAAAATATGTATAATAATTAGTCAAATGGAAAAAAATATACTATTTAACTGGAATCACAAAATACATTGTTATTTCAGGGACAGGAAGTGGGTAGGAAGATTGGAATCCCCCCCCATCTGGCATTTGCTTTATTTAAACAAGACTATATACTGTAGCAAGTAAAAAATGACTCTTGACATCCTCTCCCTATAAACTTAGAAAACATTGACCTCACTATCATTGTTTTTTTATTTGTTTATTTGTTTTCATTTTTTTTCTCCTGCTTTTCACGAAATTCTGGGCTGGAATTTTTTTGACTGAGATGTGAACCCCCCTCCCTACACCCGAAAAAAATTCTGGATCCGCACCAGTATTGGCAGTAGCTGAATGTCACATCGACAACGGGAGATAATTTCACATATGAAATATGATGATCTTTGACCCTTTTTAAACTTTAACCTAATCGTTTGGGTGTATTTTACCCCCCACTATACTAAAACTACTTACCGACTCCCTGTGTCTCGTCAACTAAATCCAATTATAACACAAAATGAATTAATACAATGCACATCAGACTGCACCAATGTGCCATTTTGGCGAACCTTCGTCGATTCCATCACCTTATCAGATGAAGTGGGTATCGGCCGAGGTGTGCCAAATGGTGTTTAATCTATAAATATGATAATGGGTGACGCAACGTGATGTGATGTAGAAATTTACATGTTCACATGTACAAGAACAAATTTTAAATTAATTCATAACAAACGTTATTAAATTTTAACAAACCTTTTCCATCTAGCCTATTCCAAAAAGTATGTGCTGTGTGATTGTGGTGTCGGGGGGGGGGGGGGGGTTAGTAAATGAAAAAAGGTCCTATTATGAGCAAAACATATATCAAAATCTAATTTCAGACGCGGATCCAAAATTTTTTTCCGGGGGGGGGGGGGGGGGGGGGGGGGGCGGGGGGTCCACCTCAGTCAAAAAGAAATCCTAAATGTCAAAAACCTATATATTGTGGGGGGTTGGGTGGGGGTAGTGGTGACTTCTATTGCCGCAAATGTTTAACTTTTCATACCTATTTTACACATATTCGTGTTTACCAGGGGGGGGGGGGGGTCTGCATTTTCCAAGGGGGGGTCCATTGTAACCTTCCCCCCCCCCCCCCCCCCCCCCGGCAGATCCGTGCATGAATTTACATCATTAATAAAATTCAGACTGGTATATAATGAATTAAGCATATATAAAATAAATATAAGAGGTTCTGAGTTATAGGTCACAGGGTCTGAGAATTTCATACTCAATTTGATGAATACATGTAAATTATAGAATTATTTTGACTATTTCTTTGGAAAGCCGCCCAATATGTATGAGCATGTATTTAGAGGCAAACACCTTAGTGCGGGTATTACTGTCTCATGACAGCATCTAGTTAGTATTAGAATTTAAAGGTTTTCTTTTTTAAATTGCATACTGTAGTATTTATCGGTGAGGTAGGTCCTGCATATATTTTAAATGTTTATCATATTTTTATTTTATCCTCTATTCTAAATTCATTATATTTATGTTGTTTTGGTCAAGCAAGTTAATTTTGGTAGTATGTACAATAGCCCAGTACATAAATATGATTTTTACTGTAGCTTGCAATACATCCTTAGGTTGTGTTACTGTTGGTGTATGGACAGAGTGTTACATGGAGAGCGGTGGAGTCAGGACACAGGGGAATAGGGAACCTGATCAGTTATACCACACGACTTTTGTCTGATTATGCAGCAGACTTCATCATAAATCAAGGAGGATGGGTAAGAAAATGTTCTCTGTAAGATATGCAAAGAGTGACTAATTTATCATCTTCAAAAATAAAATGCAGACCTTTGATACAATTCTTGCAAAATTATATTTCTTCATCTTGGTTTTTGTGTTTTATTTTGTATTAATAAATATATTTTTACAAGATATTTTAATATGTCATCCACATCAGATTAAACTGGCACCTCCTTGGATTTCATTGGTTGTTCTCTTGACATTATATATAGGAAGCTGTCATGAGTTTAGAGTCCTCCGTAGAAACTTCACCAGACCAACAGATAGGCCAGTACCCTTTAAATTCCCAGCACGTCACTGACCAATCACATACCTCAAATCAGTCACACCACCCACTACATTCCAAACAGCTCAACAGCCAATCACATTCCATGTACGAGTCATGTGCCATGTCAGTGAAACCAGGTGACCTCTTCAGTAACCATCAAAATGTCACTGCCAATAACAGCAGTTACCATGACAGCGAGGTGATGTCAATATTTGTCGACCCTACTCAGGTAATTGAGTCTGTGTCACAAGGAAGCTTGTCTGCGGCAGAATCTGATGAGGCCTCATCACCTGGTGTACCGTCTGTCTCGGCAATCATCTCAGAATCTGATATCTCCTCAGGAAGGTTCCAAGGCTGGGATGACCATGTGTTTACTAGATCTAGAAGTGAAGACTACTGGTCAAGTATGCTCATGATGTTTTTTAATGTTGGTACTTTGATTACCATTATTTATTTGTCTCAAAGTGGGAGGAGCATTTAATTGAAATTAAGTTGTTAGCTATTTAATTTTGCTCAATTCTAAGTTTGTGTTTTGTTGTGATTCATGATTGATGCTTAATAAGCAGATATATGATTTGGTTTCATAAATGAATCAGAATTTATGTTAAATGTAAGTCTATTTTATTATATTGTTTATTTTTACTAACAGTATATATATTTTCAAGAAATATGAATTTAAACACAAAAATGTGCACCTAAATAAGCAATATGTGTTCATACGAGTTTTATTTTTCTTTAGTGATTATTGTTGCTATAAGTGTAAAATAAAAGTGCATGCAATTTGTAAATTATTTTTATTACTGCATTTGCATTGACATTTATGTTTGTCAAAGAAAAGGGACTGCTTTAAGGAAGTGAAAATCACATTAGTTTTTTTGATATATAAGGAAGATGGATTATCTGTTGTTGATCTGACTTTTTATTGCCTTAACATTCCTTTTGCATGTAATTCTTTTCATATACTTTCCCATTGTCTCTACATTTGACCATAAAGTTTTTATTTGGTGCATTTGGAAAAAAATATTTTCAAATAAAAAAAAAATGCCTTATTCAAAATATGTCTATATATGTACTGTAGATCACTAAATTTTCGCGACACCTTATTTTCGCGAGATAGTCATTGACTCTTAATTAGCGAGACAAAATTTTCGCGAATTGTGGTTATTACTCTATATATTCTTAAGGAATACTATTATACGCGAGAATTCATTTTTCGCGAGCATACTGTCTCGCGTAATTACGTGAAAATAAAGTTCTCGCGAATAAAAAGTGATTTACAGTATTCCTAATAACTAAAGATTTTTTTTTTCAATAGGACTTTTGTTGTGCCAAATCCCTGTCATAATAAACACTTATTTGCCCTTAACTTTATGATTTATGTCCATGAAGTTAATTTTGGGAAAACCTATTTTCTCTCTTGTTATTTGTGACAGTCACTGTTTATAATACTATTTTAAGGGTTTCAAACTGAGCTTTTTACAGGTGATGCATAAGCAGAGTTGTTAAAACAAATCAATACATTTAATCATAAATCAGCATTATTGATTGCAAATAAGAAATGAGAAAATAGTTATTGCCATTCTGATGCAATCTTTGCATTTTCTTTTATGTTAACTTATCATTTTGTTAAATTTTATTACATGTTACATGAAATACATTACAAAAGTTGTTTTTGTATCAGTCTATTATGATGTAAGAATCAAAAGCTTTCATTCTTATTTAATTTTAATGTTTGTTTAACTATGTCAAATATTAGTTTATTCTAATGCAATTGTTTTGTAAAACACTTTTTTATTGGTTAATACACTGATGTTTGAAGCAGTAAAACAAGCATTAACAAGCGTGAAAGCTTTTTCATTGTGACGTCATAATAGAGCGACACAAAAACACAATGCTCCGTGACGTATTTCATGTAACAATTCATCAAAATAAGACGTAAACAAGAAACAAAATGCATGGATTGCATTAAAATGGGAATAACTGATCTTCTAATTTGGTATTTGCGACCGTTAATGCTGATTTAACGGTCGCAAACATCCGTTTTACCGGCTCCGCTTACGCGTCGCCGGTAAAACTCAGTTTGCAACCGTTAAATCAGCATTAACGGTCGCAAATACCAAATTAGAAGATAGTTATTCCCTAAGTATAAAATCAAAAGCATTTTACTAACAGTTGTATTAGAATATGACCTAACCACCTTAGTATGTTCTATAGTTGATTTACCGACAGCTAATCAGAGGGTTAAAGAGTCTGATGTAGGCAGGTTCATTATAAATTATTAAAAAAAATTTTCATATCATTTATTTATAACAGATTCCACCTTCATAGAAGGCTTTAAAGAATTGTTAGGTTTGTATAATCAGTGTCTGAAAGGAAATATTCCGAAAGTGTAGATGAATAACTTTTATTTATGGTTGTGTTTGTGGAAAAGTTGATACATTTTTGTTATTTGTTTCTCTGCTTTTTATTTACTTAACTGAAAACAGTTGGAGTTATTTTGTCTCTAAATGGTGTATATTTTTCTAATTAGAGTCTTTTTCTATGTGTGATTTAGAAAAACATCAAAAGAATGTGCAGTATTTTAAGTTTTCCTTATCTTAAACTACTGTTTCATGTACTACTTTTTTTGTTACCAAGTTGAAAATATAAACATGTTTTGTTACAAAAATTATAATTATTTTATGAAAATTGACAGAGGAGTTTCTTATAACTGCTGAACAAGGAACAAAAAATCAGGGCCAACTTAGTATTTGATGATTGTTTTAAGAAATAAGATATCATTTTTAGAGTTTCATTGAGGTATATGACATGAAGTCGGTCACATGATCAAATTCTATAACGCCCGAAGGGTGTTATTGTAGATTTGATCACGTACCGACTTCATGTCACATCCCAATGAAACTCTAAAACATAGGTAATCAGAGATTACAGATCTCACCTCAACGAATGTTGTCTTTAAGTAAGGCAAGTCACACAATTAACCAACAAAAAGTGTATATTCCAAAAATGAAAATATTTAAGCAATTTTGATCTGATACTTTGAAATAGACCAACATAAAAAATTTAAACTACAGCAAAACTCGGTTATAATGAAGTCACAGGGACCCATGAAATTACTTCGCTATATCCGTAATTTGTTATAACCGTATAAGAAATTCATTAAACTTATATATTTGGGGATCCAAGATGACTTCGCTATATCCGTAAATTAGCAATAACCGTGTACGTACTAAACAAGTTTTGCTGTAATTCTTCTTCATGAAAATGTAGTTAAAATCCAGCATCTGAGTTTTCATCTCTTGATGCAACATTTGTGCAAGTTTGGTTTTTACAATGTTATAGAAGCCTTATAGTTTTCTGGAAAAAGACCTGCACTCATAACTTTTACCTGGTCTATTATCTGAAAAATGTATGTCGAATTCAGCATCTAAAGCAATTCCATTAGTGTGCATCCTAAGATGTATCATTCATGCAAGTTTGCTCATTATAGGGCTCATAGTTAATTGGAAATGAAATATGCATCAAAAACTAACATTTTCACTCATCCACAAAAAGTAGGTCAGTTTCAGCATCCGAAGCAAGCCCGGTAGTATGCATCCTTAGATGTATCATCCATGCAAGTTTGGTCAACATAGAGCTTATAGTTACTTGGAAATGAAACCTTCACATAAAACTTTAACCTGTTCACTCAACCGGAAAATGTAGGTCAGATTCAGCATCCGAAGCAAGCCCGGTAGTATGCATCCTTAGATGTATCATCCATGCAAGTTTGGTCAACATAGGGCTTATAGTTACTTGTAAATGAAACCTACACAAAAACGGCACCAAAAATGTTAACCTGCTCCAGAAACATTAACCTGGTCATTTCTTTGCTGAAATTGCAGCATCTGAAACTTTGACTGGTACAATGAAACACACTAGAACCATCTTCCATGCATGTCTAATCAATAAAGGACATAGAAGTACTTACAAAGAAAACTGCTCGAAAAAACTTTACCTTAAGGTCAAGATCTAGTAAATGAAAGGTGCCTACAGATTTATCAAACTTGAGAAATAAATTCCTTTAATGATGCTTTGCAACTTTAGCTTGGTCAAATACGGTGTTTCGGGGCATAATTTGTAGGTAAACAAGATGAAAAATTGTATTTTACACTGTCATTTTCATTGAAAAATTAAGAAAACTAGTCATGAATATGGGAGTTTTTTTTCATATTCGACTAAGGAAATGTATCCAGATTGCCTACAGTCTCTCAGAAAACGGTAATTAGTATGTTCATGGCCTCTTCTTTAAATCAATATCAAATTTAATATAGGTAACCGGTTTACTTTTCATATGATTTCAAATTGAATGTCATGAAAATACCCTATTTTCTACATAATTCTGCTAAAGTCGTAAAGTACGGGAAAAAGAAAGTTGAAATTGATTATGACGTCATAATGGATCTAGCACCAAAAAAATAGTCTGAAGTTATTTACTAGATCTTGACCTTAAGGTCAAGATCTAGTAAATAACTTAAGATTAATTTCTTGGTGCTAGATCCATTATGACGTCATAATCAATTTCAACTTTCCTTTTCCCGTACTTTACGACTTTAGCAGAATTATGTAGAAAATAGGGTATTTTCATGACATTCAATTTGAAATCATATGAAAAGTAAACCGGTTACCTATATTAAATTTGATATTGATTTAAAGAAGAGGCCATGAACATACTAATTACCGTTTTCTGAGAGACTGTAGGCAATCTGGATACATTTCCTTAGTCGAATATGAAAAAAAACTCCCATATTCATGACTAGTTTTCTTAATTTTTCAATGAAAATGACAGTGTAAAATACAATTTTTCATCTTGTTTACCTACAAATTATGCCCCGAAACACCGTATTTGACCAAGCTAAAGTTGCAAAGCATCATTAAAGGAATTAATTTCTCAAATTCGATAAATCTGTAGGCACCTTTCATTTACTAGATCTTGACCTTAACCTGGGACGCCGACGCCGAGGGTATTACATAAGCTCCCCCAACTTCGTTGAGGTGAGCTTAAAATATTTTATTTCATATACTTAGTATTTATATTTTACTTTTATTCGTGTTACAAGAAAAAAATAGGCGCTATTTGGACATTGTTTTAGAAATGCAACATAACGTAACTACAGCGTCATATGACGTCACAATCAAGACTTTCTAATAGTCTCTTGCGGTTTGCCCAACTGCATGTCATTGAAAATTGAATGCCAATTCATTAATAATTTACATTGCCATATAGGGAAAGACATTAGCAAATGTAAATATTGTTTTTTACATCCTATTTGAGAATTTTTCGCTGTCGTGCATGCAACTGTGAAGGGCTTCATATTTAGGTCCTTAGTCATTACATTGAAAATTAAAGTTTATATAAAAAAATATCAAGCTTTAAGAAACTTGAAGCAAAAAAATTTAACTTTTTCTGCGGGTGACCTTTAACTTTTGTAAATGACCTATCAACAAACTGAAAAACCACATGATTTGCATTTTCCAAAAACAAGCTTTCAATAAATCTTGTATCATTTTCTAAGTTTCATGCCCCTGATTCAGGGATTCAGTGCTATTGTCGGGCTGTATTAATTGCATACTAAAAATGCATAAATTCTTTGAATTCACCTTTCCTATGAAAAAGAACATAATGATGAGCAAGGGTGTATCTTTTAAAATTATAAATTTAAAATACATCAATTCTGTGAAAAATCATCCCTTGTTCTGGTTAAGTAGCAGATAAACAAGTTGCTAAGTTAATGATGAGCAAGGATATTTTTTTTTCTTCCTAAATGCTAAGTTAAAATTTTGGCCCTAGGATGAGGAACTGTGGGAAAAAGTAAAAATACATACTAAAATCTTCGAAAATCTACAACTTAGTTCATGATCCTGTATCATGTGTCCTGGTGATAGTACAGGGCTTTGCTGATGTCCATTGAGAGAACAGTCTTCTCTGCTAATAAGCGTCTATACATGTATATGCAGAGCTTGAGTAATTGTTGAAATGAGGTTGTCAATGATGATTTTAAAAAAAAGTGAAATTCTGAACTACTTGGTCAGTTATGGTCCGGGGGGAGGGGGGGGGGGGGCGCATCAAACTTAGACGAGTCACTTTTGATCTCATTCTCACTCTTACCAAAGGAATATATAGTGAAAACGTGAGACTGAGATCAAAAGTGAGCTCGTCTAAGTTTTATGGCCCCCAGGCCTGG